GTAACTAGCAATTAAAGTTTGTGTTAATGAAGATTATATATACCGGAACACTGCTTTTCAGTATAGACAAATCGATATACATTTCCTGGGTAATTCAAGTTGCATTGACGCTTGTCGAAGGTTCAGCTTATAGCAATTGTCTCTTCAACTGTATCCTTCTTAAACTTAAGCTTGAGCGTCAGTGGTTGATTATACTTGTTCTCTTCCGAAACTGCAGATGTTTTCTCAGCACCGCTGAGCGGGGATTCGTAAAGAAGGTCTTTTCTTCGTTCCCTAAGGGAAGGTAAGTTAGAACCCGTATTTACAGAGTTTTCTGTAGCCGAAGAAGAGCTTTCATCTGAATCACAGTTTTTCAAGTCGTTGGTGTTCGTTGTCACACTGACGGCCGCCGTTTTGGAATCTTCCTGTAGGTCACCGCCACTGTTAAGCGAAGATGATGGCAGTAAGGTAGACAGCGGCGTAAGTCTGACGTCCTTCACGTTTCTAAGTGGTTGCCGACGCATGCGTGAATCCATCATTGGAAGCTCAGCAGAGGGTTCAGATCCAGACTCGGGTCCAAACGAGGAAGCAGCAGTAACCGTTGGGCCGTTGATCATTGGTCCAGGTATGTAGCTGTACCTAAGCGGCACCTCGTTTCCAGTACCGATCAGAAAGCCCCTACCTGTGGAAACTGGTTGCTGGTGAGGTGGCGAGTGAAAATTTAGCCGCGGCATCCACCCGGTTTTCGCCGGCGGTGAGCCGCACGAGTTCGCTGCAAATTGCTGCTGACCGATTCCTGCTGCGGGCGTACCAGGCGCAGCTCCGCCATAGCCAACGGTTGTCGGCGTCGGTACGTTTTCCTGACCGAACGCGTAACGCCTAGTATCCGTGGAGCCAAGATGATGGCTGAACGTCGGGGGAATATGCGACGAAGTGATACCTTGTAGCTGATGGTTGCTGGCACCACCGTAATAATGAAGTCTTGGCCCAACGCCACTGCCAGAGTCGTTTGTCAACAGAGGTGTCTTTCTGCTGTTCATCGGAAAGCTGCCTCGGAGGTCAGTGCGGAGCATCGAAGAGACATCTGGATAACCATAGGCTATATTTTGTGCATATGGAGAGGCATCTAGAGCAGCCGATGTGGATGACATGTAATTAGCTGCGGAAAGGTCAGCAATGTCCGCAACTTGGTTCACTCCAGCTATTAGAGGATCGGTCGACTGAAGTTTTGATAGTCTCGGGTCTCGAATAAGTCTTGGGTCGGCAACACCTTTGAACCGCGGATCTTTGGAAACCATGGCTCCGAGTTCGTTGAATTCCTGCGTATCCTGTTCTGGTCCTTGGTTGGTGATCAAATTTGACACGGCATCAAACTGACATGCTAAGCGTTTCTTGATACGAGGATCACTGCGTAACTTCTCGTCTGACAAGGATGCGTGCAATACGGCTATGCTAATTGAAAGATCCGTCGGCGGCAAATCCACTGGGTGTAATATATACATAGGCGCAACGACAGGCTTTTGGACAGGATAAAACGGCACCTGAGATGTGTTGCAGTCGGGACTGACCGGCGATTCTAAACGACAAACAGATCATAGACACTAAACAGAGGTAAAATACGGTTTATTTTAATAAACACTGGGATATCAAAAATAAACACTAAATGCAATATTCATATCAAAAGAATTAATTGATAAAACAGTTCTCTGATCAAAATACATCCTTGACCGATTAACCAGGCTTTATGAAATCTCCAAAGAAAAACAGAATTAATTCGTTAGAGCAAATTCCAGAAAGTAAGAATTACTTACATGCAGTTTATTTGCATGTTTAATTTAATCGTTTTCATGTTCTACTGAATCTGCTTTTCGTCATTATTACACAGCAAAGCAATATGTCAAGTACGGGTAAATCTTTGAGCTCTGGAGCTGTTCGGTTGTCTTTCATGTGTGTGGTCGAATCCCCTACCTAGTCTCCTTGCCACCTTGCAGACCGAAATATTGCCTGCAGATCAGGAAAAGTGGAACAGTCAGCAGCAGGGCCCCTGGAAAACGGCAAAAACAATAGTTTGGAAGCTGCTTGCTCCTTTCGCCTGCTTGGAGGTTACACTTTGGAGTCAACCTTCCATACTGGACTTGATTTCTGCTTTTCAGTGGTTGCATTCGTCCGCTTGATGGCCAGATTTTTCCTAACGAGTCTCGAACTGACATATCCTTCGAATTTGGACGAATCGACAGTCATAACATAGCGCGATATCTGACAGCTGTCGATCGTCGAGCGACATTTCCATAATCTTGAACCAGCGTCAAAATTTAACAACTTCTAGGAACTGTGCAGGATTACATGCTGGCAGCAGGAACAGAGGGGACTAATAGAACTTACCAACACAAACTAATGATGATCGCCCTTCCAATTCCTGGAGCAGCTAATGAAAACTACAACGGGCGTACGCAACTGTCAGGTAACCTGGCTGCACAAAGAACAGCTGTCTAGGATATTTCCACAAATGCCAATGATAAGTGGTAGTTGGATGACCGCTGTAGCATGTCAACGGCTTCACTGAACTTGGTAACTACACTCTTATTCCCAGCCCCAGGAAGATAGCTTAAATAGGGGAATGTAACGAACTTGGAGAGCAGTCACAGTTCACATTGCCGACCTCGGCCTTTGTTGTTATGTGATGTACCGATGACATCTGACGGAATACATCCCACGAAAGCGGATCAAAGCTTCTTTAGTTGAAATCTTTCTTGGTTCGCAGCAAATGCAAAAAGACATTTAGAGAACTGAAGTTTCAATTTCGATCAGAAGGTAAGCGGTTAACATCAGAATAATGAAATGCAAAAATGAACATGAAATGTAAATATAAAATAAACATGAATGAAATGTTTGACCAGTCTCACTTTCAGTATTCTGTATCCAAAACGTAAGATTTATTTAGTCTTAAAATCTTAAACAGCAGCATTAATTTTTAATTAGCCTATTAAATATAGAAATATATTCTACCACATAAACAGGGCCATGTCTTCCAGCAACAAAGTACACCCGAGCCAATAGGCAGAGTAATAATTTACACAATTTGACAGCAAACGCCCGGAAACCTCTCCTTATGAAGGTAGTCGAGGCAGGCGTGGCTGAATTACCGGTATATTCAGTATTTTTGACCACGTACCACCAGAAAGTAACCTGCTGTTGAAAAGAATACTTGTCCAAACGTAGAATTTGAAAATCAGTCAAAATACAACGCACTTGAGGATCCAACGCCTAAGTACGAAGAACAGTTTTTTGAAGTTTAGGAATACGACATGGGATCCAAGAAAAGTGAAACAGCAGGATTCGGCGAACAAATGCTTTGGTCTTGCGTGCACTAGATGAAAAAGACAGATGTACCCCTCCGCTTTTTAATCAGATTTACTCGTCCACATGGGGCAGAACTAGTGGAATGACATTAAGACTTAATAATATAATACCTTCAAGATTCAATGACTTACTTTCTGCTGTATTTTGAATTTTTTGTTTTTTCTCAGTTTCTCCAACAGCTATGTGATCTTTCCACCAATTCGAATGGACAGCCAAAGGTAAGGGAGCGAGAGTGCTCTCGAAAATATTTCTCGATATTTTAGTAGACACTGGAGGAAGAAATCGACCGGCGAATTGGCCCAGTGGCTTTCTGCGTGAACTAGCCTGACCCATTGTGACTAAAGCAGAGTTCAGTCTGAAAACTAAGCTCGCAATATTCAAGTTGATCTTTATCCCCATACTTACCTACGGTCATGACTCTTGGACCATCACTGAAAACTTCGAACCCGGGTACAAGCTGCTGAAATGGGCTTTCTTAGACGAGTCGCTGG